GGCAGTATCCCCAACCCCAGTACAAGGTTAACAGCAACGCCAATGAAAAGCTGGGTTCTGTCATTTAACACAGAACACTGGGCAACTGGACCACATAAGGTGTTACCTACCAGTCTGTGGTAGCATCGCAGCTTTAGCTGGCCTTAACATACCAGGTTAATGGAGGCTGACATATAGTCTGCTGCTGAGGGCTTTCAGCAGCAGCATAATCAGCCAAATGACTTCACTCTAAATCACTGTAAGGCTGAGAGGAGGAGCAAATCACTGGGGAAATATATATGTAGGCTACAGGTAGGCCTAATCAGAGACAGCGTGTAATATTGCTTTAATAATCCCATAAGGATGCCATCTCCAAAAGGACATGTTCTACTTTTCTGTATTTTGTGGTATACATTCTTAATATATTGTTATACATTTCAAACAAACTTAAATATATATAGGAAATATTAAAATTAAATAATGTACCAAAAAAGTGAGTGTGAAAACCAATGTAAAAAAGGAATTACACCCCAAAGTTAAAATGTCCAAATTTTAACCAAAGTGTGAATATTTTGTGAGGTCAATGTTGTTTGTAAGTACTTATTTAACCCTTTTTGGAATAAAATTCCCTAGACCTTCACACTCTACCACTGTAATCCTCCTCCACTCATCCATGAGATTATTGTACATTGCTAGATGTTAAATATAGGGTTTCAACAGCCGAAAAATTGGCCTGGAGTTTCTTAATTTTGGGAGATCTGCCAATACTTAGATGTGAACCGATCTTTCCCACCAGTCTGATCTACCTCTCTAAAGGTCTGAAAACCATCCACTGTCAAAGCCTTAAACTTTAAATTATATTTGAGATAGGGCTGCAACTAATGATTATTTTGCCATTAGATTGATCTAATTATTATTTTTTGCGAATCAGTGCACACCTAATAAATACCTTCTGCTTTTTTAGGTCTGGAGGCTTACCTGGACAGTCCTACTACACCTTTACCCTCAGTTTCCTTACCGTGGAAGTGGTAAACTCGAAGGTGATTTGGGGATAATTATCATGTTAGATTGCTTCCAATTTTCATTAGATGGAGTGCATGTTGGCATCCAGCGTTCCATCAATCTTGAATTGTAAATCTCCACAGCCAGCAGCACTTATGTAGCCCCAAACCATCACACTCCTACCATCATGCTTGGCTATGGCAAAGAAATTTGTGGTCTCATTAGAAATAGGACATGGTTATAGTAATCAAACTACTGATGCTACTGATCTTCCTTAAGCTATTTGCATGCTTTCCTGAACATCATCTTTAGAAGTGACTTCCTCTACGATGACAGTCATATGGACCAATTTGACACAGTGTACAGCATGTGTTCTTAGAACTGACATGCTAACTCCTTATCCCCTTTAACCTATATAGTAATGCTGGTCAAATCATGGTAGGCCTTTTTGAGTTCAACCTGTGTCATTGAACTGCTACATGGTCTTTGCAACTTAGCAGCACCTCAGTTTCATGCTGTCTTTCATGCAATGATCTCATAGCCTCAGCCATCTTTACGTCAGGCAACTGTTCCTTTTTTCAGATCCTCAGAGAGTTCTTCACTTGCTTCCCTCTAACAATCTACATGACACCAGGGATGGAACATGGCCGGTGAGGCACACTGATATGTTTCCCTTTGTGGCCTGGCACACCTTTGTACTGGTTTTTATACTTATATGAGTGTTTTGAGTTATTTGGGGTGGAACAGTAAATTAACACTGTGGTACAAGCTGTATATTGAGTAAAATACACTGTAAAACGTAGAAGTTTGTTTTGTCTCATGAAAATATACCAAAAACAATGTAAGAAAAGGGACGAATGTAGTCACTATTGGAGAGTGCTGTAGACTAACAGTATCATGGTGTTAGCCTATATTCTATCTCTGGCTGATGATCAGGACATTAAGTTCTAAGAGCCATTCTTGTATCTATAGTAGTGAGAAACAAAAATTGGACTGTAAAACTTATTATCTAGTAGTCAAGAAACATGGCCTGTAAATGTATATTTACCAATATTTTTGTTCAGGTAACACAATGGCAAAGACCAACCCAAGAAGGTCCTTGCTTTGGGTGGGTTTTTTGGGCATTCTAACTTTTCAGTTAACTGGCCTCTCAAAATGCTTTATTGTTAGACGTTACATTTTGGCTGAGATTGTCATGAAAGAGGTGTTTTCTAAAATGGAATAAAAAAAAAAAAAAAACATATGCCTTCAATATTAAGCAATATCGATTAGCAAAGTAGCCGTATCTTGAGGCTGTTAGATAACCTTATATTCTACAAGTATAAATTGGGATGTTATTGATGTATTTCAATCCAGAACCCACAAAATCTTAACCTGACTCTGCCAGATGGATTTGCTTCGCATATTCATCTGGAAACCTTCGGTTGAAGTAATTTTGGGAAGGGGCGAAAATACTGGTTAGCTGATTGGCCTATGTTGGTGATAGACGGGCCAAATAAACCAATCAGATCAACGAAGCATATGACGTACTAACAGCCAGGCTACTCTTGCCGAAATCAGTCGGGAGAAGAGCAAAAACATATTTTCCTCTGAGAAAAGCCTCCAGAGCAGTGTTTTGCTCTTCTTTCAGTGAAGAAATACTCTGTAATTCCGATAAAACTTGCTCGATAGCCACGCTAACGCTAGTTTCATCGGCTGAAGCCGCCATGTTCTTTAGACTGAACTGTCGCTCTTCTCGTTGCGTCACACCTCAACCCGCCTCAAAGCCAACGCTGATTGGACGTTCGTTTGGTGAACGGCTCCAACGGAGAGTCTCCAGACTGATTAGCGAGTGAAATCTTGAAAGCTTGCGAGATCATGATGGTCTCACGAGGCTAAGAAAATCTTACGAGCACAAACAAAACACATTATAATAACCTGATTAGTGTCACATGGGCAGCTCGAGTTCCAAAAGAGCTAGTAAATTCTCACATGGAAGATATTACACAACTTGGCTTGTGGATGTTAATGTTGCTAGTTTTTATAAGCCAACTTCAAAATTATCTCAGTCAAGAAATAGATTTCAAACAATAAAACTTCCTTTTAGTTGGCATAATATGAAGTTACGGTAAAATTGAAAACATTTGAGAAGAGTACAAACCATAAGCATTGTTAGAGTATGTCGCAGTTTCAGGGTTTCAAACACATTCAAAACTAAATCTTGTTACTTTAATCTGAAATATCTGAAATATTTATAAAAACCCTTGTTCTACAAGAGGTTATTAGGAAAAAATCTTACCCCTTTCTGCAAGTATAACAAGCTAATATTTGGAAAAGCCCAGAATAACCTGCCCAAACTGAGCTACTTGCCACTTACCAGGCAGCTTTGGTTCATCTTTGCCAATTACAAAATCCCACCCCCAATTTTCCCTTTTTTTCTTGCAGTTCTACACATTTTCTTTCACCAATCTGCCTCAACTATTGTGTAATAGTGTATTTATTTGGATAATCAAGAATTTTTGATTGATTACATAGTGAACTTGTTCAGGACAGAGAGTGGCACATGCACACACTTAATGCAGACAGCAACATAGAGAGCCAAATTTGAATAACAGGGATGTTTCTAATTGATGAGTGGAAACCTGGGTACCAATCTGAACGGGGAGAACATTCAAACCAAAGTAGAAAGCCTGTAGTTTGTTTGCAGAAATTTCTGGTAAATAGTGAAAATCTTCAGTCAACATGCATGATCAACTAATTGTATATTAGTTCCAGAAACCTAAATACAAACTTAAATTATACATTTTTCTAAGTATTTTTGACTCTAAGCCATATTTAAGCCAACTGATTCTTACAAACTGTGACTTCTTTAAAATAAAAATAAAAATTAAACCTCTAAGGTGCAAATTTATAGTCTGTTTCCAAAACAATTGTCTGGAAACTAAACATAAAATCCTAAACAGGGTCATCTTAATTCACATGGGCACCATTAGTTTCAGTATTTTTCAATTCTGTTTTATTATAATTTTGAAATGGCAATTTTTTATTTTTCTTGTAAGCCAAGTAGGAGTACAAGAGTCATAGTTTCATCAGTGAGCCTGCTGCAAGCAGCAGTTGGTTACTCTATGCTCCAACAGCAGAAAAACTAGAGACCCCAAAGGTTTCTTTGGTAATTCCTTGAGTATACTTTTAAGCATAGGAATGCTACAACTATTGAGTTTAACAGTTTTAAATTCATAACCTAATAATAAGTTAAGCGGGGTCACGAGGGATGCTGGTGCCTATCTCCAGCTGTCTACGTGCGAGAGGGGGGGGTACACCCTGGACAGGTTGCCAGTCCATCGCAGGGCCAACAACCATTCACGCACATCACACCTAAGGAGAATTTAGAGAAGCCAATTAACCTAACAGTCATGTTTTTGGACTGTGGGAGGAAGCCAGAGTACCCAGAGAGAACCCACACATGCTCAGGGAGAACATGCAAACTCCATGCAGAAGGCAGCAGTGCTACCCACTGAGTCACTGAGCAGCCCTAAGCAAGAACTTACAACCTTCAATTAAGCCTCATAGCAAACATAACACTTAAACACATAAAAAAATAAAAATTGCCCCCTAGATGAAATTCTGCTCAGGGTCCCATTTAACCACGGTCCGGCCCTGGATGTACCTGTCCTTAATTAGGACACTTCAGGCACAGCTCCATGGCACTGAGGCCTTGGCTCTCTATGCACACATAAACACCACAATAACATATCTAAGCGAGGAACCTCTGAGTGATTGGAGAGAGGAGAAGCTGATAAACCTGTGACAAATAAACTAGAGGAACCCATGCAGCGTCGCTGAGGAACGAGAGGAAAACGAGGAGCGCATGATCTCAAACCAATGAGTGAGGCTGTGAGGAGGGGAGGCTTGGGAGGAGGATGGAAGGGGGGTGGGGGCGTGAAAATGAGATAACGTGAAAGGAAGCTGGAGGGTGTTTTGGTGTGTGTGTGTGTGTGGGGGGGGATTATCAGCTACAGTGGTCCTAAAATGTTACTCACATCTCTGAATTTATCCCATCTGCCGGTCACCCACTTATCGTCCAGAAAATTGCCGCTGTCCGAGCGAGCGGAGACGCGTCCAAAGGCGACGGCGCACACACAGAGCACGGCGACGCTCAGCATCTGTGGGCACAACAACAAGCACGCAGAGGAGGACGCTGGATCAGGCTGGAGGACATGGCAACACAAGCGCTACAGATTTGCGAAAAAGGCCCACTGAATCTCAGCTTACATTAAAAAAAACTCTATCTTTTTTTTAACCCACCTTGTCACAGCAGCGGCTACCCAGACCGTATGAGCTCGGTGCCGTTTTCTGTCACTAGTAATAGCAGCTCTCTCTCTCTTTATCTCTCTCTCTCTCTCTCTGCTTCGCACCGTCTGTCTGTGCTCAGCAAAGGGCGGGAGCGCGCATGGCTCTCCATACGCATGCAATCGTGTGCGTGCCCGACGCACTCATCCTCCACTCAGAGCGAAGGTTTACTGTTATTATGCCGCCGATTCAGTGATTCACCATGATTCTTTATTAAAATAAACGACACAGTAGAGGTCCAGTTAAAAATTTATTCTCAAACTCAAACAAATATGAACACAAGACAGATGGTGGGAAAACGTTTGAAGAAGAAAATAAATACTAGATTTTTGCTCCAAACCCCGAAAGTTTGAGTGCGCTTTGTTTGCGCCAGCAGTGACTCACTTCCCGGCAGAGAGCAGCAGCAGCAGCAGCCTGTGATGCCAGATAGCTGCTTTCCACGATAATAGCCCATCCTGATTGATTAGTGTTTGTGGGCGGAACCGCCCTTTGTTAGAGTTAAAGGATCCTGGGACATGCAAAGTTCAAAACAGCTCAGTCACCCAGCCTCTTTTTATCCTCTATAGTTTGAAAGGTAGACAGAAAATCAGTAAGCCTTTATTTAGCAGAAAATTATTGAAAAAGTTGCTTTCTTTTCAGTAACTCAATTCATTAAGTGAAACACATATCTATGACCTTTGGTCTGGTGTGTTTAATCCTTTCCTGTATGACAATTTTCTGCAACCGGTTAAATAAAACCCACATTTAAGATTAAAATATGACATCACCCCAAAATAAATATTTTTAATAAAGAAAAATAAAAAGAATGTTTAAAGGTTATTGTCAAATAGGAGGGCAAATTTGACAACTCATTTGAAACCCCATCTTTTATTTTTACTTAATATAACTGTACATTCCTGCACTGTTCATATTTATGCTTAACCAATCTCTCACCCCAAACACTTTTACTACACAAAGAATGTTTGGGTCTGATAAGAGTACAATTAGACAGTCTATGATGTTCCATTTGTATCAAAAATAAGCAGATGTAAAATGTCTAGATGGTGTGCTGTTGTTGCATATGAGTTGTCTGCATATGTATACGTTGCAAATGTAGTTGTTGCATATGTAGATTCTGCATATGTCTGCTTATTTTTGATACAAACGGAACCTCCTAACAATTCCTACTTTCTGAGCCTTTTATCAGTGTGTGTGGGGTGGGATCTGTGTGTGTGTTGCTTCCCTCTCCATCAGAGCTCTGTGTGTTGGTAACCAACAGATAACTTCTTTGTGACGTTTGGGGGTTGCTTCACATTTGTTTTGAAGAAATATATAATTTTATACAGTGTAAACTACAGGCGGTGAGCCCACTGGGGTATAGCCTTCCGACGAGGAAGAACCCAGTCCACCAGGTGATCGTCGTCGAACCCCAAACCCAGGCCTGGCTTCAGGGTAGGGTTTCAGGCTCAGCCGTACCTCGTGTAGCCGACCTACCTTGATTGTTTTGGTCATCAAGGGGGGTTTTTGAACTGCTCTTTGTCTGACCTGTCAACTAGAGCCTGTTTACATTAGGAGGCACTACCAGGGGCCTTTGAGCCCCTGAAAACATAGCTTCTGGGATCATCTAAGCACTGAAACCCCTCCACCATGTTACAGTGGCAGTTCGAGTAACCAAAGAAGGAGCGCTAAACAAGGATGATTTTTATTTAGTAGGAACTGGTGCACTGGTCAGAGTGGAGAAATAAAGAACAGTAATATATCTATATCAGTAAATATTGGCACCTAGCAAAAGATGAAAAAAGGAATGTCATCTTTTAGAAGCATTAAAACATCCAAGTTAAGCTAAATAAGATTCACTTTGAATGGCTTAGCAAGAGATCTGACTTGTATTTAAAAGCAAACAATATATAAATAAACTTCTGCTGTGCACAGAAGATGCACAGACAGTCTGAAAGATTTGAAAAACTTTTACAAAGATCAAGGAGGGTCACGCGGATATACTCTTACCTTAATAATGAATGCTAAAAATCATAAAGTGGTTGAACTGTAAAGTGCCTTGAGATGACGTGTTGTGAATTTGGCGCTATATAAATAAACTGAATTGAATTGAATTAAAGTGTCTTTAAAGTGTCTTGAACGGTAGAGGCACATTTAAACAGACAAGTCATCTTAGTCCCCCTACCTTTTTTTATTTTGACTAAATTTTCGTTAGAATTTTAGATGGATTATTTTGATTAATCAAATCGCAAGAACTAAAAGAACAATAAAAAAGATGAATTTTTTAGATAAAATATATTATTTTGTTTCCAGAACCTTTAAAACTGTTGAACTTAAGTTGATTTGCAATTTTGTTTCTTGTTTTGTAATAAGAGAAAAATGAAAACACTTGCTTTTGACGAAGGTTACTAATTTCAATACTCACCTCCCAAAAGCTGCAGAGGAGAGAGGCATGCTGGTCATGTGGGTCATGGTATCATTATGCACGGTTGCTGCGGTAACCAACCTTGACCTCAGCTTTACATTTTCATCTTCATAAGAGGCAGGGGAAAAGCCAAGTGTGTAGGGGTATGCAGAAATTATGACAGAGTGCAGACATTTGAAAGTGAAATTAGAAATTTAAAGCATGTCCAGCTGAAGAACAGATACAACACCAGTGCACAATACAAGGAGAATTTATGCTGAATGGTCAGCTGTTAAGCATGCAGAGGCACAGGTTCAGACAGGAAATAAACACATTTAGTGTGAAGCCTGAGTTCATGTCAAAAGGAAATTTGCAGCATGTGAACAGGAAACTGGAAGTAGAAAAGCCAGTGTGGTTAAAAGAACCGGAAGTTTTGGTCTATTCTGAACTCAGCTTTGCTCTCTTTGATCTAAGGTGATTTTATCTTAAACAAAACATTTAGTTTGAACTTCTTTGTGGCTCCGTATTTGGATGTACTTTCTCTGATTTCGCTGGTGCAAACTGTGTCTGTGCCTCTTCCAGGCCGCAGGATTCATAAATTATTCAGTCAGAGACATTAAAGTTGTAGATGTGGTCAGAGACATATGCAGCAAAGACCACACATGCGTGCACACCTATGTACATGCATGAGCATGCAAAAAAAAAGGTTTATTCTCCTGTTAATGAAACTCTGCAAACATTTTAAATCCAGTTGAAGTTAGATTTCTTTAATCCTCTCAGTCAAACAATCAAAACTGCACATTGCTTCCTAAAATTAGATCATGTCAGGACTGAGGGGTAAGGTATAAGAGAGAAGGAAATGGGACAAAAAACAGTGGTTTTTGCATAGTTAAGTCTGTTTGCGTGTCCGAGCCGGGGAGGCAAGAAATGTGTCTCCAGGAGGAGAGATTTCATGGCTCAGCGACTCTGTCACTGTGCACCTGCTCACCGCAATGGAGAGAGAGAGAAAATAAGATAAAAGTGGGTGGTGAGGTAAGGAGGGAGTGAAAGTAGTGAAATGAGTCAAAAACAATAAAAAAATAAGATCATATGTATCCATTCCAAATACATTAGAGTATCACTGAAAAGGTCATGTACATCAGTACTTCAGTTCACTAATTGAATCTGAAAATGTGGATTAAGTACACAAAACATAACAGGATAGAATAGAATAGAATAGAATAGAATAGAATAGAATAGAATAGAATAGAATCGGAATATCCTTTAATATTCAATGGGGAAATATATCAATGGGTAAATTTCTGACACCCACCATAGCAAGGTTGTTAAAACAAAGGCTGTAGAGAAAGGGTAAATTTACAGCATATAAAAAAATAATACTTGGCAACTCTTTAAATAGTACACTTAGGGCCGGATCTATCAAAGGTTTGCGTGTATTAAAACGTGAGCTATTTCACTGCGCACGCTAAAAAATGTACAAACTGATCTATCAACAGCGTGCTAAAAGGATTTGGTCTTTAAAACGTGCTAAATAGCGCCTCTTATCCATTTAGTACTTTTTCTGCAATGAATATGCAATATGGGGCGTTTACACGCTAAAGTGCGTCTTGTGGGAGGAGAACATGTAAATATATTAATTTAGCAGTCGCAAAGTGATTTATCAAACCTGAACGCAATTTTGCTAACGGTATCTGACTCTATATTTAACACGTTTCAAAAGAAGGTGCAAATGGTCTGTATGCGTAATTGCGCACACATGGCAGCGGTTATTGTCGCAAGAAGGAGAAATCGAAATGAAGCAAGGAGACGCAGAGAACGCATTTTTTCACTCCGTGTGAATATTTTTGGAATGAACGAGGAAACGATCATCAAAACATATCGTTTATCCAGCATTGCCATTTTGGAGCTGTTGGGGGAACTCCGAATGGATTTGGAGCCAGCCACAAGGAGGACCCACGCAATACCAGATATCACGAAACTCCTTGCAACATTGCACTTTTTTGCATCTGGGATCTCCCAATCTCGTTTTTCAGAAGTGCTGTCCGACGTTCTAAATGCCATGTCGCCCTGACGCCCTACCGGAGAACCCCGACACCCTGCGCCTGTGGAGCAACATGCCAATGCAGTCATCTTATCCACAGTCACTTCTTGTGAGCCATTTGGTATGTGCATTTTTCTACAGGCCGATAAAAAACACCTGTTTTATTTTTGTTTGTGTGTTTTTTTCTTACTGCGGTGAAGTAGAAATTCAGCCACATACCACCTTAGGGAATAAAGGTTGCCAAAGTTTATATATATATATATATATATATATATATATATATATATATATATATATATTTATTTTTTTGGAGGGGGTGGTGTCACTGTAAGATTAAAATTTCTTAATGCACTAGTTTGCACAAACTACAAACTACTTTGCCGCAAACCACAAAACGCGCAAAACCATCATTTAAATAGGGCGTCTCCAACAGTTTTGCGCCTGCCACCAGTTACGCAATCGCTCTTGTTAAATCACCCGCAAACCATGGTTCAGCCCCTCGCGCAAAATTCCACTTTGCGAGCGCAAATTACTGCACGCAAAATTGGATCTTGATAAATCCGGCCCTTAGATTCAAAGAAATGTGCAACTGATTAGAGTAATTAAGCAAATACAAAACATAGTTTTTTTTATGTATGCATAAACTATTTACAAGAAATGAAAAAAGTTACAA